TCGTTTACCGACTCACGCCATAAAAAAAAATCACTAAAATGATAGTGTCATTTGTAAATAATAATCACTATGTTAATGAATTACTACTGAACTTCTGCCAACGATAAACAGAGATAAAAAGTGTTCTGTAGTTTACATAACCCCTGGAATGTACGAACGTAGATATACGCGATGTGTGTTTCCTATTGTGTCTCCCATACCGTCAAATAAGAGGTTAATATCCTATGACTATGAGCTTATGAGCCATGTAGCTATAGAATAGACTATGAGTCTCCTCTTTGCACCGTAAGCTCCGGATCACCGTCACAGATGAGGCCCAATACGGCTGATGAATCACAGACCACCACTGATAAGGCCCAATACGGCTGATGCCGATACGGAGTCGCGGAGGACTTAACGGGTTGCCGGAGCACCGGCTCAAATGCAGGAGTAGGAAAGAGGTGGTTTTAGCCAGTAAAAGTCTGACACTCCCTCTCGCTTCACTCGGGCGAAAGAAATCATTGGATGATTTTCACCCCTCAAATATAAAAGTCTCCTCTTTGTAAGGGATTTCCTTTTTATCTCCACGCTAGGCTTGTAGATCGCTAATACCAGAGAGTGATGCTCGGCGTCTTTCTAATGTGCAAACAAATAATATACATAGAGGTATTATAATTATATTGATCAACCCCAACAAAGCATCCCAAACAGAACTTCCAAACAACCGAACTTTAAAGTCAGCAAAACATGCAGACTGTTATGTTGTCAGTAACTTAGTACTTAGTGTGTACCTAAGTCTAGACTATATTGTAGTCTAACAGTTACCCTAGGGGTTAATAAACACTATACGGTACGAGACAGGAGGCTTATTAGCGCTCAAATATTAATAAACATTCTTTAGGACAGGGTCGTATTCAGAATAATGTATGATAGAAAATTCAATGATAAGATATTGTAGTACATAATTGCTTCATACGTAACAATCACAACAGTCCTCAGAAAGTAAGAGTTCTCGGTTTTTGATTATATTATTGAGAATTTCGATTTATCGTAGCTGGAAGTTTAAAATTGAGCTTAGGTTCTTCATCTGTTACTACAGAACTTCGAAACTGGAACTGGAGCATTATGTTCACCCCATTGATCGATGGATAGAGAAATGCTTCCTTTTTTTCAAGTCAAGTCAAATAAATATAATGTGTGTAAATAAATAACACATGTTACATTCATTCATCCATTAAAAAATTCATTTTTCAGTCTATTCTACATACATAACATAACGCCTTTTACCCTTGAAGGGGTACGCAGACGTGCACATTACGGCACTTATACCACTGTACAATATAACACAAACTTTTTACTATTTATTTTATAACTCCCATGTAATAGAGGTTAACCTTATTTCGATATGTCGGGCACAATTCTAAATTCCGTGCGACTACTGTAATTCTCCACTAATATTTTACACATCCCAAAAATCGAACAGTATACCCCTTTCCCAGCAGTCGCACTTGCGACCACTCGGCCAACGAGGCAGTCTATTTAATCACTACCTAATCCAGCCCTGTGCCTCGGTAATTACAAGCTTCATTAGTTCACATCCCAATAAGATTCTCGAGTCAATATTTGTGTGCCGTTAAGCGACTCACATAAGTTTGTGAAAATTATTGACTTTGTATAAACTCCTTTTAGTTGACGTCAATATATGACAGGCATTTGGTTGCACTATGTACACGTCTATGAGTAACTTGAGCTAAACTTTAACCACATATTTGGTTTGTAGATGGCTGAAGACTAGTCTACATGTACACAAAGCACCGCTAATTAGTTAGCGGCGCTACACATCGACACAACTATCATTTACACAATATACATGTGTGGGTAATTTCATATCAATAGATATGTATAGAAACATTCGTCTATCACACACATCTTGGTATTTAAAAATCATTTTTGTGTCGGTATACGCAATAATTTAGTAAATAAGTTTAAATAAAAACGAGGGTAAAGATAAAATTACTCATAACAAACTTTGAATAAATCGAAATCAAAAATAATGAACGATCGAGCTATACAATACCCACATAAATATAGTGCTTTCTCATTGTAATTTTATGTTACTGAATGATATAAAATATTTCGATGATCTCATCTACAGCGCGCTTGGCGCAATGGTTATCGCCTCCAATTGTCAAGTAAAGTGCCGCCGGATCGATTCCAACATTCACATGTTGTTTTAGAATTAATTTATCAAAAATTTGAAATTAGAAACAATTAAATCTTTTCTTTTTTTTCCTTTCCTATTGTTCTAAATCTTATGTTAATTTTAATAGTAAATACTTTAGATTTATTTATACCTATAATATCTTTTATTTATATTTTAGTTCTAGTTATTTATTATTTAGAATAATCTCATTTGCTTCATGCATTTCAACCAACTTAAATAAGATAAAAACAGTAAAAAAGTAATTAACTGTGATTTCTTAATGGTTCGATACCTGAGTATATTTGCAATGTTTGTGGCGACCATAGAAATCTCGAGTCATTTTATTTTACACGCTTATGAAGTAACTACCGACTATTTAAAACATGTTTTTCAAATCACCCGACTTACAAAATAATTGCGTTCTTAGTTGTCAATTTATGAGGATTTCATAGTTTATTGCTACACTACTTATATTCGTGTGCAAAGTTATTTTTATTTTTACAAGATGTTCCAACACCTATCAACATTTAAAAAGGCTGAAACCATTGTTTTGCATGAGCAAAACATAACTAACAATAACTGAAATAGCAAGGCGTTTAATGTTATCGGTGAGTAAATAAGATACTACGTTGATATTCTAAATAATATTTATTTCATTTTGTAACTCGACACACCTATCAATTTTTGCACTAGAATAAAATAATTATTGCAACTTATTATGAAGTTCAATATTATAAAGATATATAATTTATTATTAATTGTATTGTAACTTGACTTGTTTTTGTTAGGAGTGTTTCTTTAAAACATATCTGGTTAGGGATTTTTATTCCTTACGCCACTACTTAATTATAAATTATTATTCTAACATTGTGTTTACTTATATTTATTATTATTTTTAAGTAACTTTAATTCCTGTAAAGTATTTCCTGGTATTTTAAATACTTATTTGTTTGGTATCAACAGAGGAGATCCATGCAGTTATGGGTGCACAGATATGCGGAGACCGGTGACGTTAAACATCGTCGACGTGGGCCTAAACCAAAGGCAAATTCATCGGCTCGGCACTACGACATCGTAGCCAGGCACATGGCTGATCCGTTCCTGCCAACCCGCACTACAGCGACAGCACTGAATGTTTTAATACAAACTGTACGGAGACACCTGCATTCTGGTTTAAGGTGCAGGAAGCCAGAGAAGAAAATATTGTTATCTGTGGTTCACCAGCAAAAGCGCTAAGAATTTGCTAAGGACTTTATTAATTTTGATTGGGCGAACAGTGTAATCATATTGAGCGACGAAAAGACTTTCAAGTCGGATAAGGATGGGCGTAAAATATTGTGAAGAAAAGATGGAGAAAGGTATACGAATTGCAACCTTCTGCCTTGTAGGATCAGTGATTGTATTGATTTCGGAATCAATTATTGAGCCTGTCAAACTCTGCCTTTATTAAAATTAACATAAAATAATGTTTAATTTTTTAAGAATATTAAAATGCTGTCTAGAACATACGGTGAAGTGATGTTATTGTTTTGTGGTTAGAAATTGTCATAATTTCTTTCTATTCAACATGTTTATTCACTTCACTTTAATTTTTCATTAACAAATTTATTTAACTGCTTTCGAACTTGATTGACATATTATATTTACGCCCATCTTCAATTAATTTAAAGTTTCCCTGATTCTAAAGGTCATGAAAGTTAAAATCGTTCCATAGCATTCGTCACATTCTTTTTACTATCATACAGCCCACTGAATATTGAACCTTATAACAACCGTCGTAAAATAGATAATTAATGGAAGTTCAAACGACAAAAAGTCGCCCATTTCAAGAAATATTATGTTGACAGTGTAATTTTTTACATGTTTTACTTGTTTATTACTGTAAAACTGTAATTTAATAATACATTATATTATTAAATTAAAAAAAGAATGTTGTATATTTGTTTATTACCTACTTAATAAAAAATGTTGCTGCCATCGTATTACCGCTGTACCGCATGATATTTCCCGATTCGACTATGAGGTTTATTGTCATATCTATTAATTATGATTTAAAGAACTTTAAACTTAACATGTGGTATATAATTAATTATTAGATATAAATATTGAATATAAAACAACATATTTGTATAATAAATAAATTAATTGTAATAAAAAATAGTATTGTTTTATTTACCAACTCATTTGCTTCTTTTATAGCCTGATATTTATATTTTATGACAAAAAACAAAAAAAAAAATAAGAAAAATAACAAGGTAAAATAAAATTAACTTTTAGCTGGAATAGAACCCACATCATTGATCCTTGAAAGACGATAAAAGCGTGCTCATTAACCAATCGACCACGAGCACTACGATAATGACAGTGAAAATGTCGGGTCATATCAATGATTGTAAATAGTTTTAACCTTACCTATGCATTAAATTATAAAAATACGTATACCGACACAAGAATGAAAATACCAATGTGAACGTGGTGGACGAATATTTTTATATACAGTTATATGAAATTACGCACACATGTACACTGTGTAAATGACAGTTGTGTCGATGTGTAGCGCTGCAATGTACCTGCTACCTAATATTTTAAATGCGTATGTTTATATGTATGCTTGTTTATTCAATCTACAAATACTACGGAATGCAAATTGTTTAGATTAACAAAACCTCTAGGTACACACTACAAGGAATTTAGAAGCAATTTCATTTTTTTTATATTAGATGGGACTGACGTTTGACCAATATCTCGCCTGTTGGTAAGCGATGATGTGGCCTACGATGGAGCACGTCGTCTCATAAGCAACCTATTCACTCGAGCCATGAACACACCCAAGTTATACTCTTCAGGAAATACAGACTCTGGCAAAGAATTCCACTCCTTAGCAGTACGCGCAAGGAAGCTTGACGCGCTTCGTGCGTGTGGGTGGGACATCTACCATGAATCGGTGACGCTTCGCCGATTGTCTTATGGTACGATGATGGAAAGGATTAATTTCCGTCAATAATATTTTATAACCGCATAAAATCGTTACACTATAAAAATACGCACTTCAATAAAACAAATCATTTATTACGCAAGTCAGGTAATAAAACATAACATCGATATTACAACTCAACACGAGATTACACCACTAAGAAAATATAACTACACGTCCGTCTTGCACCATTGTCAATTTACATCTGACCAAATCAGTTCCATTTTCAAACAGTCACGTGACACTATGGTTCACAAATTGTTGTTGTGTGTCTATGTAACTGTGCAATTAGTAGTAGCTTATATGCAATCTGATGATTTATATTATCCTGAAAATAAAATGGTAATCAGTAATTTAAAACGAAGGGAAGTTGTACCACTGAATCCATACTCAAAGATTAATAGTAGAAGAATATTTGGGAACGATGCACAAGGGAGCCTAAATTATAGAAGGACCAAAGATATTCGTGAAGATTTCATTGATCGAAGGTTTGAGGTAAATAATGATATGACCTATAACATATTTGTTAATACAAATTAATAGAGTAAAGAAATATCTTAATCAAGTGAACAAATGAAGCTAATAATATGAATTTTATTATTAGATACCTAAGCACGTGGTGACGAATATGTATTGGATTGGATAAACTTTCTGAATGGCTTTTGGTTTCGTATTCCAAAATTAACGTGAAAGAAATACTATAAATAAGAAAGATATTACGACGAACAAAATATTATACGAAATGAAACAAGCAAAGGAAAGTGAAAAAGAAACAGACTGTCTAGAAAAGGCCTAGTTGACTATCATATTTAAAGTTTATAAAAAAAAATTGTAACATCCAATCATTTCCAAAAGAATCTAATAAACATGAACATATGAGCTAAGTTTTTTCATTCAACGAACCCAGATCATCACCCTAAAGAAAAGAATTGCCCAAACATGAATTGAATCGAAAAGAATAAAAAAAACTAAACAAATGAATTATACTATGTTCCCTTTTGTTTAGAGCCGTGGAGAACGTTAAAGGTTGCCGGGGCTCCGGCTCGAAGTGCAGGAGCAGGAACGGAGTGGTTTTTAGTCAGTAAGAGTCTGACACTCCTTCTCGCCTCACCCGGGTGGGTGAAGTCGTTCAGTGATATTTCCCCCTTACAAAAAACTCTTTGTTTAGACGAGTACCTATGATAGATTACATTCAATATTATGAAATGCAGTTGCTCTATGTAGAAAAAGGACATTCAGCTGCCTCCAATAAAATTAGTCAATCAATCAATCAATACTGACTCCATAACTAACCGGAAAAGGCACAACTATCAAAACAGTGGAAGAATTTGCTTTTTAAGAGTATAATTATAAGACTCCATCTCATAATTCTTTAATTAATAAGATCACGTCTTCGTTCCAGCTATCTGAATCTCAGCTAAGAGAAGTCCAACTGGACAATAAAGAGAATAATTTGAACAAACTGCACAACGAATTGAGCTGGCTCTCCCTTGACACTGTTGAAGGCATAGGTACAGTCACTGTATTATAAACACAATAGGCTACCTTCATAGCTGAGCTGGTATCAGCAGACTTAAATTGCTGTGAATTGGTTAAAATTCTTTATATTTTTCTCTTTACTTTTAACTGCAATTCACTTGATCACTTTTTAGTTTCTTCTCCTCAGATACGTATTATATATTTAGTCTTCCGTACTACTTCTCTCACAGTTTTGACATATGCGTTGACCTTATCAGCACTGTCACTCTTGTCATCTAAAATCTTGTTTGTTCTTATCTTCTAAAAATTGACAATCATTTTTACACGTCATCATATACTGCAACCAAATTATTGTGACATTTTATACTATCAGCTGAATAACACGATCAAAATGTACCTGTGTTAGTTTTTTGAGAATATCTGTTATCTTCTCAACTATGAATGGTATTCTTTTGTAAAATTATTGTTTTTATACTCAATCCATTAGATAAGAGTAGAAACGTAACTTTTTTCGTTTACAGATCAACCAACAGACATGGTGGTTTTCGGCGAACAGTAGTTTAAAATAAAAATACTTTTTATAGTTTCACAGTTTTACCCGAAATCGTTACTAATTCCTTACCAACTATGTTCGGAATATTTTTAGGTACCACAATGCTTGAATTGTCCAAAACACTTTTAGTATTAGGTTTCTCGAAGATTTTTAAAGTTTCCAAATTGTGTTAAGCAGCATTTTTTGTATTTTTCTATTTACAGATCAACACCCAAACATGGTGATTATCAGTCATGATAAGTGAAACTCTGAACTTTTATGAATATTGACGTCTCATAAAAACTAAATGTACATAAATATTCATCAGTGACTTTTATTTCACAATCTACTCTCTGTTTAGTTTTACACATTGCTTTACCAATACAATTACGTAAAAAATGTATGATTTGAATGTATGTGTACAGATTATAACGAACAAACCGTATCATTATAAGAATTTATAGCGAAACACTTTAAGAGCGCCATCTCTTATTGTACAGCTCAAACTGCCTTACTGATACATAGCAAAAGATGGCGCTATACATAAATTAGTTTCTTCGTGTGAAAATGATAAAGTTCTGTGTACGCAGGTCGCTACGAAAACATATTGAACAAAAATCGAAAGTTTATGCGCACGTGGCAATGGAAACTTAAGAAGACGCAGAATTTATTTGATTTTCTCGATTGAAGAAACAAGTATATGGGGACATTGTGGACATACCTTTACAAGCATACAAGCATAGTATGTTCTGAATAAGGGAGGTTTAGGAAGTTTGGTGAGGAGAATCTGCAAAATTTATTGTAAATAGAATAATTGTAAATTAAGGGTGTAATAATAAATAAGTAGACAAAAATTATACGTACCTACACAAGAGTTACTATCTTAAAAACTTAATAAAAAATAATAAAAGTAAACTGCACTTGTAACGCCTCTGAAGTTCCAAGTGTCCATTGGGCGACGTCCATTGCTTACCATCAGATGATTCGTCTGTTCGTTTCCCGGCTTATCCCATACTTTAAGTTAGTTAAGTTAGTACTTAAACAAACAACTGTAAGTCTAGAATCATGCCCGGTATATGGCAATAGGCCCACCCCAATTACATGGGACTCATAACATAAATAGTCAAAAGTTGGTGTTACATTGTACAGTGGCATTAAGTGCTGTAACGTCCACCTCTGTCTATCAGGTCATCAGGGATAAAAGGCGTGTTGTAATGTAGTAAGTAAACAATATTAGTCGCTTGGTTATATTAACCTAACCACACCTTCAACCAATAAAAGCTTTCAAAGCAATACCCCATCTATTTTCTTAAACATACTAATTTACTAAATTGTTTACTAGTTTTCTGAACTTACTTAGTACTATTATTTACTTTGTATTCGATATAAAATTAAATACCTCTAGACACTCGACTACAATTGACCCGATAATGATTGGCTGTCTACATGTAATTTGTAGGAAACTCACACGAACTTGGAATACATTGATTTGAAAGGTACTTTATACATATAGGAATGCCTATGAATATATTTATTTTTGCCAAAATCATGATATATTAGCTATTGCTTGCGACTTCATCCGAGTATAATATGGTTCCTGTTTTATCCCATAGAAGCATTTGATCGAGATAAAAATCTGTATCTATTTTATCAATTCAGTTAACCATTACCTTGCCTGTACCTATACCAAATTTCATCAAAATCCGTTCAGTACTTTTAGCGTGATTGATGAACAAACATCTGAAGAAAGAAACTTTCATATTTACAATATTAGTGTGATGTTTTTTACATTAGTTTTGCGAGGCGCAGTAATAAGGAGTGTTTTTATTTAGAAAGATATTTTGCCCTTCAACGTGGCAATGCTGCCAGTCTTTTGGGCCCCCTACCTCACCTACCGAAATTTTTTTGATGCCTTAAGGTATCATTATTTTTATTTTATTTTTGAAGGTGTAAATATTTTAGTTTTATTTTTTGTATTTATAATATTACTTTTAAGTAGGTATATATGTATAACATACACACGCACAAAGCGCTTCGCATCAAGCTTCCTTGTGTATTTCCTGAAGGGTATATATAACCTAGGTGTCTTCAAGGCCCGAGTGAATAGGTTGCTTATAGGTCGACGTGCTCCATCGTAGGCCACATCATCGCTTACCACCAGGCGAGATAGTGGCCAATCGTCAGTCCCATCTAATATAAAAAATAAATAAAAATAAAGATTGATTTAACTCGTCGAGTACCGGTTTTATAGACACAATTAAAGAACAATAGGTCGCGGTCACCGGTGACCGCTTGGTGTTTGACAGTTTAAAATAAAGATAGTTACAGGCCTCTTAAAAAAATATTTCTTTAATAAATAATCAACCATACACCATCTTAGTAACCTGTACATCATCTTAGTTACGATAATAATTATCTAAATGTAAAATCTGTAAAGTACCCAAATTAAAATTAATTTTCAACATTCGTAAGCAGCACCTTCTCACTTCAAAACCCGATAATTAATTCCTTGGGCAAAAGTTCTTATCTTTGAATCTATCGGCCATCTTGGAATTGAAAATCTAATCAATATACGGAATTTGAAAGTCACAAATCAACGGGAACTTTGTATCTCCCGATCGATTTGTCGGTTCCCTAATCAACCCATTAATTTTAAGAAAATCGAGTACCTTAAAACAAGCAAGACGACTAATTTTTATTTTAATGTCCGTCTGGTAGATTATTTAAAAACATTAGACACGTATTTTTTCTTTTCTCACAGAAACGAATAGTTTTGAAGATATATTGATTTGAAATGTCGCGTGACGTCACTTCTCAGTACATTTTATACTAAGAAATGACGTTTTAGCCCCCACTCCTAAACTTTGATTCGTTTTATCTAAGTATTGTTTTATTATACGACAAAATAAAAAAATACGTGTCTAATATTTTTTCATTACCTAACTTACGGACTAATTATATTTTTAATTTTCATACCCTGTCATCGTCCCCATTCTTGTATACACACACTGAAATCTATATCGTTTTCGTCCTGAAGTAAAATGGTTCTGTCTTAGTAATACAATAGGTTTAATAAAAAATGTTTAGAACAAAGAATAACTGGTGGACCATTGCAAAAAGCAAACTTCGAAAGCGCATACGAACTCATATTACAGTATCAAAACATCACGCCAAGTAATTCTCGAAGAGGTATTTCTCGTCGGGTGGCACTTGCGATGCGACTACTGCCTACAAAATGTGTAGTGTTTCATGTGCGTATTTTCATGATAATTTTTTTAGCCTCATAATAATAGGACTCAGTAAATAACCATTTGGAAAACATAAGGTATGATGTCTATATTATAACTATTGTGAGACATACTAAATTAATTATTATGTATTCGGCTTCAAAATATCACAATATATGTATATTTTCGCGACAGTCGGCGCGTCGTGTGTCGCGGAATGCTTCTCATGAATATGAGCCTCTAGCATGGCTTGAAACTAATCGAGTTCCTTATCAAACAGTTATGTGATTAAGCCGAATACATAATAATTAATTTAGGTATGATGTGGATTATGTTATGAACATAATAATATACAAGTACATACCCATTTACTATTACTATTTAAAATTAAAATTCTATGTTACATACTTTCACGACAGCAATGTTAAACAATACTGGTATTTGTTAACAAAATAACTATTCGTTGTATTTATAGTAATGTATAGTTAACTTAAATAACGAATATAATACGCAATCTGATTAATACTGTTTTTTTATAGACAAACTAAATTATTTATTGGTGATGGTTCCGTATTGAGAATTTAACTGATATCCTACTTTTATAACTAAGCTTTTAGGTCGTAAATCCAACAGCCACATTAAATAAACGTTCGTAATATTTTATATACATACGTATTTTCAATAACAACTTTACGTATGGATTTTGACTGAACAAAAATAAAATCTTACTGAAATTCTAATGAATTAACATACTAAGTATATATCACAAAATACAGAATGAGAATTAAGCCAAAATAACTATTATGGTATTAACTAAAACTTAAGAGTTACTCACGTAAATATACGGAGACAAGCAGCGATGTCAGTACGCTGCACGACGTCGACGTGAGACCGCGCATGCTGCTCATGATGAAGAGTCCCTCTGTGACTCGAAACTAATAGAGTTTTTATTTTGTGATCGCAGTATATTTACTTGAGCAACTTTTTAGTTAATTTAGCATGTCTCACGATAGTTATTGTAATAGATACGGTTTTAGTTATTTTTGCTTCTTTCTTGGCTTGGTATTAGTGATGTACATACATATTGTTAATGTTATACGTGTAAAGAAAAAGGGGTAAATTTATAAATTCACGGGTGAATTTTCTTCTTCAGGAGGGTAGATGTAAAGAAAAAGGTTTTCTTAATTTTTTAATTGATTACTATTGTCAAATAGTTTTTGGTTTATTAAACGTCAATATTATAAGAATTTAGCGTTAAAGAATTCATGAAAGAATAAAACATTAAATGTGGTTTCTTAATTTTAAAAAGCAACACATTAGTTATATTTCATTCTAAATCATAAGATTTAGTCTTATATACGTATTTACTGACCGCAGAAAATCTAACGGGTATCCGGGGCTCCCGCTAGAAGGGGTGGTTTTTAGTCAATAAAAGTCTGACACTCTCTCCCGCCTCACCCAGGCGGGAGCAGTAATTCGATGATTTTCCCCCCTTAAAAAACGTATTTACTTACGTAACCGATCTTCTAAAAATTCTGCATTACCTACATATAGTTGTAAGTACAGAAAAGGACATAAAAAGCTACATGACATTGAGTAGACGTGCAAGTGTAGTCTAGTTAACGAATTTGGAAATATCATAGATATTCTAATCATGATTATGTATATGACTGCGTCATTGGCCGAGTGGTCGCAAGTGCGACTGCCGGGCAAGGGGTCTCGGGTTCGATTAGCGGGCCGGGCAAAGTGCTACTGTGTTTTTAAAAATCTCAGTACTAGCACGGAGTCTGGAAATATGCCCAGTGTATGGCAATAGGCTCACCACCTATTACATGGGACTCATAACATAAATAGTGAAATGTGGGTGTTACATTCTACAGTGGCATTACGTGCCGTAATGTGCACCTCTGCCTACCCCTTCGGGGATAAAAGGCGTGATGTTACGTTATGTTGTGTTATGATTATGTATATTAGTTAACAATAAATCCACACAAACTTACAAAAACACTTTCTTTAAAAAATAAAGATGGGACATCGCCACCACATTCCGACCACGGATCCCCAACACGTTGTCGCGAGGTTCGTAAACAAGCCAGTCCATTAGTGGCCAGTACTATGATAGCAGTAAACAGGGGTATTCAGAAACACGGGACTGGTCCCAACATTAAACCTAAAATGGTACAAACGAGCTTTAGGCGAAATATGTCATTTTGGATCCCTGTTAAAAGTAAGTAGCCATTTTGTTTTTTTATAGATTTAAAAGGATTTAGTAGTGTTTTTGTTATTTAGGTTATGTTGTGAATTTCATCCTCTACACCTGGAAACGTGTGACGCGCCGTCTCCTGTACATAGTAGCGTTTGTTTATAATCCTTCGATTTCAATAAAAAATATAAAAAAACGTTTTCCTATACGTACATCAACAGCCTATAAGTGCCCACTGCTGAGCAACGCCTCTTCTCACACGGAGAAGGTTTGAGCATTAATCACCACGCTTGCTTAATGCGGGTTGGCAATTTCGAACTTATAATTAGAAATTATAAGCTTAGGTTTCTTTCCGTTGTTTTTTCTTCACCGTTAGTCAATGGAGTCTAAATACTCTTAGAAAGTACATATAACTCGGAAAAAGTCACATTGGTACTAGCCGTTGGTAGGTTTCGAACCCGGTTTACAACTTAAACCAAGGCAACAATTGTTCTTAAAGATATAAAGCAGTATTTTTCCCATTACATTATATTATAGCCGAAATACTTATGGATATTTGTCGAGACAGCTAGAAGATTTACAGTGTAAAAATTTTATAAAACTATCTAGAAAAACATGTAGTAGGTGCCTAAAGTTCAGTGATTAGTTATTCGAGAGGCGCACAGGTCTCTTACTTACCCAAAAAGCAATGTTAACTGGGAACACATTCTCAGTTTTTTTAGCATAAGCTAGTAAACGAGCAGACGAATCACCTGATGGTAAGCAATCGGCGCCGCCCATAGACACTCGAAACACCAAGGCGTTACAAGTGTGTTACCGGCATTTGGGGATTGGGAATTTGAGGATTGTGGAGGATTCGGGAGACGGGGACTAGGGAGGGGGGTAATTGGGAATCCAGTAACCTCACTGACACGACGAAACACAACACAAGCGTTGTTTCACGTCGGTTTTCAGTGAGGCCATGGTATCACTCCGGTCGAGCCGGTCCATTCGTGCCGAAGCATGGCTCTCCCACACTTAAGAGTTAACACATTCTCATTGCTTACTGAGAATGTGTTCTCAGTTATGGTAGTTAACATTGTTTTTTGTATTAGTTTCATCTGATGCATGTAAGTACAATTTTTTACGAATTTTATCATAACCTGACCTAAATTTTTGCTCAATTTCATACAATAGTGCTTAGTGGTTCTTTAATTTTTTGCTTTCAGTTTTTCCAAAAAGTATTTTGCATATCCTAATGACCTTTAGTCTAATATTTTTCTTAGGATAATATTGATTCATCAACGTGAACTGTACTCTTTTTATTAGCTGGCTGATATAAATCAAACTTCAAATACCAATAATAGACACTTCCCGTTACCAGATAATCAAACCTCGGGCTATCAGAAATAAAATCATCAAATACAAAACAGAGACATTAAAAAGTCATTTGTTAAACGTCTACTACGAAATTGATGAATAAATAAATAAATAATGTATACGAGGCACGACATCTTTGTATCAACAAAACGGTCGGGTTAAAACAACGACGGGTTAATAAACAATAACTGAATGTTACCGATAACTACTAAACTACTGATGTTTTCGTGCACCACGCTAGGATCACAATATAAAGAATTTGCCGAAGTACCATTACATATAAATGATGAAACATAGATCTATCTAGAAGATTTAATCTGTCAGTTAGATAATGAAAAATATCTGGCACTTTTACCACATTTGGAACGGTGGCTATAGGTTGGGTTACGTGTAGAGGGTTCGATTCCCGCACAGAGCCAACTCTTTGTGTGATGCACAAATTTTTGGTTTGGGTCTGGGTGTCATGTGCATGTGAAATTGTATGTTTGTAAACGCACTCACGACTAAAGCGAAAATACTAGTGAAAGACAACGTATAGTATTTTTTTTTTTAATAATTTACTTTATTTTAGAAAAAGAGAACACATGTTTTGTTTTATAAATATTTAAGAAGCCAATGTTTAGAATTGGAAGTGTCGTCACTTCTATGTCCCTATTCAAGTACATTTTGTACAAGTAACATAATCAATGAGTTATAAGTATAATGTGTACAACTTTTATCAGGCACTTCAATTTCGACATTTGCAGTACCTAATAATATATTGTAGTTGTAGAATAAATGAAGCTTGATAATGAACTTTAGCTATAGTACATAGAACTCATCTTTTTACCAAATATCTATCTAGGTGTATAAAAATCCGTTTTTACCAAGGTTCGCCAAGACTGGACCGATTTTACTAATTATTCCTTTCTTGTATTTGTTATTATTAGGAGAAGGTTCTTAGGACAGAAAAAATCCTGAAAATCCTACAGGAACGGGAGAAAACGGGATTGCGCGTACAAAACCGCGGGCAGAAGCTAGTTTAGATATATTTTTGAAAAGTCATGGTGTCATTGACTTATTGTAAAACTTATAGTTAGTCTATACAGACTTCTAGTGATTGTATTTTAATGATATTGTTACAAATTGTAACACTTTGATGTCAATTTTAGACTCATTAAATTAAATTACTACCATTGATGTTGACTTTGAAACTCAAACAAAGTATTGAGTATCATTGTAAATAAATACAATAAACTTTATAAAATTATTTGTTGCTTTAGTAGAACCTGTTTATTAATCACTACATAGTATAAAACAAAGTCGCTATCCGCCGTCTGTCTGTCCCTATGTATGCTTAGATCTTTAAAACTACGCAACGGATTTTGATGCGGATTTTTTAATAGATAGAGTGATTCTTAAGGAAGGTTTATAATCCTTACTAATATTATAAATCGGAAAGTGAGTTTGTTTGTTTGTTTGTTTGTTCCACTTTCACGCCGTAACTACTTAACCGATTGCTTTGAAATTTTGCAGACATAAAGTTAGAAGTCCGGATTAAATAATAGGGTACTTTTTATCCCGGAAAAATTGATATTCCCGAGGGAAAACAAAAGTATTGGTATAGATGGCGCTGTGTGTATTGGTAGATGTCACATAGGCTACTCATTATCCTTTTGTGACGCGAGCGAAGCCGCGGGTAAAAGCTAGTAATATGTATAATGCATGCATATTGCACCCACGTGAAGCCGGGGCGGGTCGCTAGTTGTTATATAAATACTAGTCACACAACCCTGCTTCACACAAGTCTTAAGTTCCCAACTTCCTAAAAATTATACTTTCATGTAAAAATATTTTTTTCTGACGGCGAAGGGTTGTAATTTCTCAATTTTCCCTGCAAATTTTCCAAAATTTACTTTCATAGCAACCCTGTCCTCCGAATTATAGCTAAACAATTCGTGTCGTGTCACACGTCGTGGTACCCCGGAGGTTCAAGACGCCCGCCCGCTTTTCATGTATGATGCAAAACATCGCGAGGAAATCAAGGCTAACAATTTCTAATTATAAGTTTGTAATCGCCAACCCCCATTGAGCAAGCGTGGTGATGAATGCTCAAACCTACTCCGTGTATGAAGAGGCATTGCTCAGCAGTGGGTATTTATAGGCTATTGATGATAATGATGATGAATTTATTACTCGGTGAGAGTAATTTAGAAATAAATATTGTTGACCTACTTCGCACTTACCTACACTATGTCATGTAGTCAAACCCCACTCCTAAACAAACAGCATGCTCTCTCTTGCAACAACACGCCCCAAGGACAAATACTATGTGCTTACTTTACTATTATTTCAACACCATATACGTCACTTTGGCCTTTCACCTCGTGGACGATGATAACACAATAGTTGTTTAAAGTATAGAGAATCTGTAAATACATTATGTAGTCGTTACAAATAGTTGGTATAGGTCTTGTGTAGGGAATACACGTACAGCCCTTTTTCGCCAACCTCCCCTAAATTGTAAGGAACCACTTAGCTAAGATAGGTGACATTGGAATACATTTACCAATTTATAAGTGACACATAGTACAACAGTTTTAGTATAGATGCTAAGTCACGCTTAGTATCATTTATTTATGCGATGGATTGAGGGTGTTTAGTGAAAACAGCCACTAATGCATTTATTGTGTGCATTTTTTAACTAATACAATTAGTTAATTTACTTCTGAAACCATGTCACGTGTATTTTTCGTAAGCCGTATGTATCTATCGATCTTTCCTTTGCATGCCTTTGTATTATCGAAAGTCAAGTATACAGTTCCTGGTATTCTAGAATAACCTTTTTCTTTTCAGAAAATAAGGTTGATATTGCGAAGCACAAGTCTCCAAGGAGTATTACGCCGTTCTTTGACGCTCTGAGGTGTACGCTTATTGTAGGTCAAGTGTTCTCCTTGCTTCCATTTGTTGGAGTGTTTACTAATATTGCTAGTAATGTCAAGTAAGTTCTACATATTCCATACTAGACAGTTGATAAAATTCCATTCATAAGCCTTTTTTTCATGACAGAGGTGTACCTTCAAAAGCCGCCTTGTTTTTTCAAAGTCAAAGTCAAAGTCAAAGCATTTATTTCAATTAAACCATAATTTGGTACTTTTGAAACGTCAACAAATACAAAATAAATAATAGTCTGTCAGTCAGTCCATCAGGAAAGCTAGGTGAAACATGCATATAAACCTATGCATGTATTTATACATATAAACCTTCTTGTAGAATCACTCTATCTATTAAAAAAGATCTAAGCATACATAGAGACAATCAGACGGCTGATAGCGAAACTTTGGTTTATACTAGAGGTATATAGTGATTTTCCTTTTTAATTAATCTTTCTTCTTCCTATATGATTAAAAAGTAACCCAGTATTTTCTTTTATAATTTTCTGGTTGATTAATGTTCTTTTCCTACCCAGGTTTATCAAGACATCGTGGAAATGTGTGTACTCCGTACTATCTCTTATCGGACAGATGTTCATGGCAGTACTCTGTATCAATAAGTTGGCCAGATCTAATGTCACATTGAATGGGACTTGTAAGTTACATTTCTATTATACATATACCGTTTATCTGTCGATAATAATAGAAAGTGAAGGATTATTTTGAACTATAAAATTTTTGCAAAAATACATATCTTCGCTGGCAGTTTGGAAAGTGTAATTTCCGAAAATGAGATGAGTAGAGAGAAATAGCTCATTCTCCTAATTAAATTAAGTAATAGGCTACTTGACAGGTTTTCAAAATCCGTTCTTTATTATGTAGTAGAGTCTAAGAAACCCAGTAAAAGTTGTTTTTTTTTATTCCAGTATATATATATTAGCTGAAAAACATCAACGTTGCACGGCAGCCGGTTGCCCAGCCACCGCACCAACCATGCAGTCAAAATTGGCAGATACTTATTCGTCTGACCTTCAAAAGACCTTGAAACTTAACAATATTTAAACCTTCCAATTTTTCACAGCTCCTGTAATATTCTACGTGACGACTTGCGTGACGATGATGATGTTCTTCCAAGTGGCTCGGCGCTGGCCACAGCTGGTGCAGCATATCGCTAAGGCTGAGGATATGGATCCCAATTTCGACTGCAGCCTGGCTAGGAAGTGCAATATTACCTGCGCTGTGGTGCTTATATTGGCTTTGTGTAAGTAATAAGTCACTCTTTTTGAAATAATCACACTAAAATTTTAAATATGAAAGTTTTTTTTGTATGGATATTTGTTCGTCAATCACGCTGAAACTACTTAACGGATTTTGATGAAATTTGGTACACAGACAGGGTATGGGCTGCCTTAGGTGATTGTAATCCCGATTAAATGCTCGCATGGGATAAAATAGGAATCATATTGTACGCGGATGCTAGATAGTATACTTAGCTATAGTATATTTAGGGAACAGAGGGTAAAGTTCCCTAAGATCGGAAAAGGAGGATCCTCCGACCAGGCGAGGTGAGCGTGCCTGGCGGGCTTTCTGCCCAACAGTTGTTCGTTGGGATTTTCTATCCATGTTTACTTGCTTGTAAACTTTGCATGCGCGATGTAGGATTCTTGTGACGTCATCCGTTGACATGTGGCATGCGTCGCCACAAGTACATAGTAAAACTTTAACGAGAAATAAGAGACTTGTAAGACAAGAAGACTTGTAAGTACGAAACAGGAGATGTCGGAATCAATACTCAAGTTACCGAACCACAACTCATGAAGTGTGTGTGTATTAAATAATAACAAAGGGTCTCTGCAGCAGTAGCTTAAAAAAAGAATAGGTCAACTTGTAATACGATTAATGATAATATTATCGTCCCTTTTACTTACCGAGCGTACGGCGCGTCGCGTTCGCGCGCGCCTCAAAGAGCCATCAGACCACCACAGATGGGGCCCAATAGGGCCGATGCCGATTCGGAGTCGCGGAGAACGGGTAACCGGGGCTCCGGCTCGACGTGCAGGAGAAAAAACGGGGACTGCTTCCGCCTCACCCAGGCGGGAGCAGTCATTCGATGATTTTTCACCCCTCAAATAAAATAAAAATAAAAAATAATCGTCCCTTTTACTTAGGTTTCTTTTGAAACTATGGTTAACCAACGAAAAATGAACAACAGTGTCTTCTAAATCAGACCTCCTGTGTTAATAAGGGTGGTTTTCATTCTGCAATGGTTTGGTTATCTTACACTGATGATAATGTTCTTCTTTACAGTGGAACACATCTTATCTTTGCTATCAGCATTCGCTGGAGCCGCTGCCTGCTACGGCGGCATGGACACCTACCAAGGATTCGTCACACATTTCTACCCATGGGTGTTCAACTATCTACCCTATTCCCCAGTCTTAGGAGTTATTACGCAGGTAAATTCAACTTTAAGACTATGCTACACTGAAAATTAGTTTTCTTAATTTATGACCTTGATATTAAAAAATGCTTTAGCAATTTCTTTAAGTGAATTTAAACTTTGTGCTTAATAAGAAATGGTGCATTTTACTTTGGTTTCAGTTTCTCCATTTTCAATCAACATTTATTTGGAACTTCTCCGATTTATTTGTCATCTGCATGAGTTATTACTTGACTTCAAGACTGGAACAGGTCAATAAGAAGCTGCTGGCTGCTCAAGGAAAGGTAAGTTCCAAAATTAAGAACATTCAGCTATATATGTATCATCAACATAGCAGGCAGCATGAGGAAGAAATTTTGCTATTGTGATGTAAATTGTATGCTTTTCAATGTAAACATATATTTTGTTTCTGTGTATTTATAGACGAATAGAATAGAATAACCTAATATAACATCACGCCTTTTATCCTCGAAGGGGTAGGCAGAGGTGCACATTATACCACTGTACAATGTAACACCCATTTTCCGTCTTTTGAGTCCCATGTAATAGGGGGCGAGCCTATTGCCATATACCGGGCACAGTTCCAGACTCCGTGCTACTACTGAGAATTTTTAAAAACTCAGTAATACTTTGCCCGACCCGAGAATCGAACCCGAGACCCCTTGCCCGGCAGACGCACTTGCGACCACCAAACCCGAGACCCCTTGCTCGGCAGTCACACTTGCGACCACTCGGCCAAGGAGGCAGTCTCTAAAACATCCAAATAAATATTTCACCACAAATATGAAATCTAGCGACAGATCCACACTTACCACTAAATAGAACTGCAGTCGGACTTTAATACTCTTATCGGGAGCTTAACGAACTTTCTTGTTCGACGTGAGTGGTCCAGCCGCTAGCCGGTCGGTTACTAAGGGAACTGTAGATATATTTAAACGTCATAAGTAGAATATTTTTGATTATTTTATGCGATCTTTAAACTTTTATACAACTAAAATCAATTTTAAGCAGAGGTAGGAGTTATATGTGCATCAAAATGGAAAAAACAAATTATTGGCGATGAACAGTACATGTTATCATTTTGACTTTTATCTCAGTTCGTGCGTAATATTTTTTGCCACCATACTACATTTTTAATTTATTATAATAAGTTCATCAATCTGTCAATGTAATTGTAGAACACAGTTTATTGTCTCCCCTGAAAACTTGACCAAATACACATATCAGTTTTGGCGGGCGTACCAACAATTGGTGTATGTTTTATTGAATACTAAAATATTTTTTTATCACTATCACAATTTTCATCTGTTTTATGATTGTGTTTATATACACAACATTCTTCTACACATAGAAATCGAATCTGCAACACTTTAGTATAACTGCTATTTGTTAAGCCACGAGGTTAACCGTACCGCGCATATTCATTAAAAACTAATTACATGTCGATGACTTCAACCCAGTAGCATCATTCTTTGTATAATTTGCACCTTAAATAACACCTTCAGGAATTTAAAGAACTCGTACAATACAATGACAAGTACAAGCCAAAAATACTTTTTCTAACTAAAGGTGCCCCCACACAGCAGTTATACATATATCGTTAGAGAATGACGTCACATAAAAGTCAAAAGTCAAAATGATTTATTAAAATTAGACCAGAAAAGCACTTTTGAACGTCAACAAAGAATTAAAAGTGAAGCTCATTCCCATGTGTACAAAAGTTCGAGCCTGCGACCGGCGAGCACGGGTGACTCGGCGCGCGGGCTCCTGACCAGAACCAGGCCCAAGCGTACGGCGCGTCGCGTTCCGCGCTTGCCTCAAGGAACCATCAGACCACCACAGATGGGGCCCAACAGGACTGATGTGGATACGGAGTCGTTCTTTCGCCTGGGTGAGGCGGGAGGGAATGTCAGACTCTTACTGACTAAAAACCACCCCGTTCCTTCTCCTGCACGTCGAGCCAGAGTCCCGGTAACCCGTTAGGTTCTCCGCGACTCCGAATCGGCATCAGCTCTATTGGGCCCCATCCGTGGTGGTCTGGTGTCTCTATGAGGCGCGCGCGGAACGCGTAGCGCCGTACGCTCGAGTCTGGTTCTGGTCGGGCGGCGAGCCACCCATGCTCGCCGCCCTCAGGCCCGCGCTTACGGTGGCCGGAGATGGTCCCGCGACATTTTTACCCCTGGGTGTTCAACTATCTACCCTATTCCCCAGAGAAGTCATTCATTGAATGTCCCCCCTTAAAAAAACGTGTTACACAATTTGGTATAACATTATATAACCGCTGTGTGGGAGCACCTTAATATTACGGGTAATTTCAATACTAACAAACCTCGGAAAGACGATTAAAGACCCGCAAAATAAATAGCCATCTATTAATTTAGACTAAAATATAATTTACCTCTACACTAACTTTTCTCATTACCAGTCCAAATATCACTTGGATTTAGGAAAACAACATTAAATCGGTATGTACCTACTTACTTCAAAATATTTATTTTCTTTGAAATGGGAACTTAATATTTTATTAGAACTTTTCTACCCCATATATCCCCAAGTGGTCACCGGTGACCGCTCTCCCCTTTTTTTAAGGGGGGAAAATCATCGAATGACTGCTCCCGCCTGGGTGAGGCGGAAGGGAGTGTCAGACTCTTACTGACTACAAACCACCATGTTCCTTCTTCTGCACGTCGAGCCGGAGCCCCGGTTACCCGTTAGGTTCTCCGCGACTCCGAATCGGTATCGGCCCTATTGGGCCCCATCTGTGGTGGTCTGATGGCTCTTTGAGGCGCGCGCGGAACGCGACGCGCCGTACGCTTGGGACCGCTCTCCCCTAACTACATTATAGACATTATTTCCAATGTATAGAGACTACTTTTGTATGAACAAATTTAGGGCATGATTTTCTACTGGGTATTTATATATTATGTTAGAAGTTACTTGATCTCCCTTATGAAAGGGTTAAAAGTGTGTGTAAGAGAGAGAGAGATAAAGATGACGTCAGCAATAAATGGTGGTGTATGTGTGAGACACAATAGAAAATGCATTGACTCATGTAGATCTCTTGTTGCGTTGCGATATCACAGGTTAATGATAAATAACAAAGTAGAAAATAAACAAACGTTAATTCAAATACCTATATTAAAATTGTCGTGAGACGTACTAAATTAATTATTATGTTAGTTAGATTAGTTTCAAGCCATGTTTCAAGTTTCATTCCATATACATGATGAGCCTCTGAATATAACTAAAATTATTAACCTACTTATCTGCCTGGCTCGTTAGCCGAGTGGTATCAAATGCGACTGCCGAGCAAGGGGTCTCAGGTTCGATTCCTGGGGCGGGCAAAGTACTACTGGGTTTTTAAAAAATTCTCAGTAGTAGTCTGGAATTGTGCCCGGTATATGGCCATAGGGTCACCCCCTACTACATGGGACTCATAACATAAATAGTGAAAAGTGGGTGTTACGTTGTACAGTGGTATAATGTGCACCTCTGCTTACCCCTTTGAGGATAAAAGGCGTGATTTTATGTATGTTATCAACCTACTTCAAAAAAAGTAAGGTTCTCAGTTTGACCTGTTTGTATGTTTGTGCACAATTATCTCTTGATCAGCTGAACTGATTTTGAGGCGACTTTCAGAAAAGTATTTGAAACACTCAGGATAACGTTTTAATATATTATTTAACAGACTTCAAAAAAAGGAGGGTTTCACGTAGGATTTTTTCAACGTAAGTTTTAAAAAAAATATTCTATTTACTAGCTGTGTCGCGTGGAATAGTGATTTACTGCGCGTACCCCGTAGGTGATAGCGTGATAATATATAGCCTATATGTAGACATGTGAAATGCATGCAGTACTTTTTAAGATCATCCCGGACATACATACTGACAAACAGACAAAAATTCTAAAAACCATATTTTTGGTTTCGGTACCGACTGTAGATCACGCCCAAAGCAATCTTTTAAAAATATATTCAATGTAGAGTTTTCACTTTCCTACGATTTTATTATATACTAGTTTCTGCCAGCGGCTTCGCCCGCGATCCCAGGGGTAAAATGCCTATGTATCACTTCAGACCATAATCCACCTCTGTTCTGAATTCATTTCGGTCCCTTCAGTGGTTTTATTATGACTGAGTAACAAACATACACATAAACTCACACATTTTCATTTTTAATATCGAGTCAAGCTAATTTCAATCATTGGCCTTTCAGTTACAGCGTAAAGTCTATGAATCAGTATTGTAAACGTTAGAGTAGACAAATACAATCAGAAATCACCGAATTGCTAAGCTATCGGGAGTTTCACGTGTTATTGTGAGTCTACCATAAAAGATAGACATGTGCTGTCGAGGAATATTTTTTATATAATTTTAAGGAGAATATTTCTGTCATACATGATTTCTATGCAGCTTTAACCTATAAGCCTGCACACGCGACGGAAGCTTAAAAAATGGAGTAACTTCTCCCGTTTTCCCAATATTTCCCTTCACTGCTCTGCTCCTATTGATTGTAGCGTAATGAAAAGTATACTATAACCTGCCCATGAGTATGAAGAATAATTGTGCCAAATTTCGTTAAAATCCATCGAGTAGTTTTTGTTTCCATAACGAACATACAGACAGACAGACAGACAGACAAAAATTTTACTGATTGCATTTTTGGCATCAGTAGCGATCCCTAATCACCCCTTGATAGTTATTTTTTAAATATATTTTATGTACAGAATTGACCTCTCTACAGATTTATTATATATTATATATGTATAGACTAGCGAACCGACAGACGTTGTCCTGCATATCCACTTGAATGTATAAACAAAAATTCATTCAAATTAGTTCAGCCGTTTAGGATCCCTAACCTAGAAACCGACTGCAGCGCCATCTGCCGGCTGATTTGTGAATCTAAACCATTCCTTTGAACACACACAAAAAATTTTATCAAAATCGGTCCAGTCGTTTTAGAGAAGTTCAGTGACATACACACTCATAGAAGAATTGTATATTATATAAAGATTAATCTTAAACCTTTGTATTTAAGCTCTGTAGTTCATGTTTGTTAATAGTATTTACCCGAAATATTCTGGCGAGCGACTCGTGAGGACTACTGCAGAGCGACACAGATAGTCCGCAAGGTGGATGACGTCATCAGCGGCGTGGTCTTCATATCCTTCGCTAACAACCTCTTCTTCATCTGCCTGCAGCTGTTCAATACTTTAGAGTATGTATTACTGATTATTATCTTCTTTATAATCTCACTAGCTTTTACCCGCGGCTTCGCTCGCATCACAAAAGGATAAAAAGTAGCCTATGTGACATATACTAATACATACAGCGCCATCTATACCAATACTTTTGTTTTCCCTCGGGAATATCAATTTTTCCGGGATAAAAAGTACCCTATTATTTAATCCGGACTTCTAACTTTACGTCTGCAAAAATTCAAAGCAATCGATTTAGTAGTTACGGCGTGAAAGCGGAACAAACAAACCAACAAACAAACTCACTTTTCGATTTATAATATTATATATATATATATAGTAAGGATTTCAGCTACTGAGTAAGAAGTATCGAATCCAAAACCTGGGTCGGTCAACTTTTTAGACATCGTTTGTTGTGATTAGCCCAGACACTGAAATTGTACCGATGCAGCAATTTGCTATTCATCTATTATGGTGAAGACTGGGTACACAAATAACTATATACATCTCTGCTTAGCCTGTTAGTATGTTACACAACAAATATCTAATTTATAAACATTCTTTGCTTTCAGGGACGGATTGAAAGGGACAGGAGAATGCAGTAATAAGGGGAAAAAGTGAGTTTAAACATTTTTATGTGATAAAGAAACACCAATACCTAGATACCTAATTTTCTGAATAGCCAAACGATCAGTTCTTAATACAATTAAAGTCTAAATATACCAGAGAAAGAGAATGATTGTTCATATCTATGTATCAATATTTCGTAATTAAGCCTTTGACTGCTGACATAAAACTGTTGAAGGGTAAATCCTCCGCTAACGTAGGTCGCAGGTGACCTACATGGCTGTTAACGTGTTAATAGGTTTATTTTTCACAAGACAATTTTGGTGTGAATAATCTACTTAATATTTTTTAATCACTTCTGCACTACCCTATGGTTGACTGTCAGAGAATGCCCTAAGGCATTAAGTCCACCATTCACTGTCATCTATAATAAAGAAAATTACAGAATTACCTACTTCATATTCTAGAATCATCGTCTCCAAAAACGGTCCTCTAGGTGGTCATGAAGCAGCGACATACTTCCTCTTCTCCCTCGTGTACCTCTTGTCACGGTCAGTGGCAGTGTCCCTGATAGCGTCACAAGTAAACAGCGCGTCTTCCGTACCGGCTCCAGTGCTGTATGATGTGCCTTCTCCTGTATATTGTGTTGAGGTAAGAAGAAAATTTTAAAATACACCTTTTTTGAGGGGGAAAATCATCCAATGACTTCTACCGCCCGGGTGAGGCAAGAGGGAGTGACAGACTCTTACTGACTGAAAACCACCCCGTTCCTACTACTGCACTTCGAGCCGGAGCCCCGGCAACCCGTTAAGTCTTCCGCGACTCCGTATCGGCATCAGCCCTGTTGGGCCCCATCTGTGGTGGTCTGATGGCTCCGGGAGACGCGCACGGAACGCGACGCGCCGTACGCTCGGGCTTGGTTCTGATCGGACGGCTAGTCACCCGTGCTCGCCGTCCGCAGGCCCGTGCTTACGGTGGCCACCTTGAACCATAAAACTGCGACTACCTATCAATAGTATCCCCAAAAGTTGGTAGTCTCGCTGAAATTCCCTGGCCTGTCAATCATGTGAATTTTAACAATATAGTCTTCTTCTCAAAGAGGAGGCTTTTGTTCAGCAATGGACGTTCAGAATGGCTGATGGTGACGGTAAAATAGATAACAAGAATAAATCTTCACACATTTTTTTTTCTTCCGATGATGTTGAGCACTCAGGGCCAATAATAGATAACTACAATACAGTTCTTAATAAAACCTAATTTGTTTTCCAGGTACAAAGGTTCTTGGATCAGGTCAACGGTGATAAAGTAGCACTGAGTGGTCTACAGTTCTTCTCCGTTACCAAAGGATTACTTTTAACTGTAAGATATTTCTTTAAGTCTTTTGTCCCTTTAGTATAATTGTACGAATGTCAGATTTGATCTGAGTTATCTGTTTGTTATTCAAGATACATTTTAACAGAAATAATATTTTAGGTCATGTACTAATTTTATGCTCAAAACTTTTTATAACTTCATTTCAATCACGGACTTCAAAGTTCAAGTTAGTGGTGCACTTCTCGTACGGTACAATACTAAATGTGATCCACAAATTATTGGTCCGGGTCTGATGTGGTTTAATTCAAACATTTTTTTAACTTTGACGAAAATTCAAAACTATACTTTGGAACGAGTACCCCACTGACAATTCGAAAGTTTCTAATTAGATTAGATAGAAGATTAATAGAAATAAATAGGTACTTTGACTAGAAGAGTAGATAGAAACTAAAACGTTGTTGGATAAATTAAAAACACACAATAACAATCTAAAAATGTCAATTATTATTTTGTTTTGTCCACAGGTGGCCGGGACAATAGTGACGTATGAACTAGTAATGTTTCAGTTCAACTCTTCGACTCCTACGCTGAACATCACTGCTCCTACTGTTCTAACACCTTCTTCTCCTTCTCTTACTACACTCTCTTCTTGAAAATTGACTTTTATTTATTTTCCCTTCTGCTTTCATTGTCACCAAACCGAAGGTGAAAACAAGTGTGCGAAAGTACATAATTAGATACATACATACATACAAACGTACACCTGGAACAATAGGGCAGACGACTAATTTTTATTTTAATGTCCGTCTGGTAGATTATTTAAAAACATTAGACACGTATTTTTTATTTTCTTACGGAAACGAATAGTTTCGAAGATATATTGATTTGAAATGTCGCGTGACGTCACTTCTCAGTACATTTTATACTGAGAAATGACGTTTTAGCCCCCACTCCTAAACTTTGATTCGTTTTATCTAAGTATTGTTTTATTATACGACAAAATAAAAAAATACGTGTCCTATATTTTTTTATTACCTAACTTACGGACTAATTAGATTTTTAATTTTCATACCCTGTCATCATCCCCATTGCAGACTCTATGATATTACTGTGAAATTCGTGAAAAACCGAAACCTGCTTAAACTTGAGTGTGTGCGGGGGAATTGCACAACTTGATTCTTCCTAGTCCTTTACATAATAGTACCACAACACAATTAGCAAAGCGTCACCGATTCATGGTAGATGTCCCACCCACACGCACGAAGCGCTTCGCATCAAGCTTCCTTGTGCGTACTGCTAAGAAGTGGCATGAATGCCAAGCGTGAATTCTTTGCCAGAGTCTGTATTTTCTGAAGGGTACCTGGAACTCTTCAAGGCCCGAGTGAATAAGTTGCTTTTGGATCGATGTGCTCCATCGTAGGCCACATCATCGCTTACCACCAGGCGAGATAGTGGTCAAACGTCGGCCCATCAAATATTAAAAAAAAAACATTTTACATCCAACCTCATCAAACTCGAAATCGAGTCAAACTTCTTGCTTCCAATTTCAAAAAGGTACTTTTTTCGTTTACCATCACCAGTCAACTCTAGAAATAAAGCCTAAACAATTTTATTCAAGACATAAAGGGATGATGACAGGGTATGAAAATTTAAAATCTAATTAGTCCGTCAGTTACGTAATAAAAAAATATCAGACACATATTTTTTATTTTGTCGTATAAGAAACCAATACGAATCAATGTTGTTGTAGTGGGAGGTAGCTAAGTCATTGTAGAGTATAAATCGTACTCATAAGTGACGTCATACGATATTTTAAATCAATATATCTTCGAAACTATTGGTTTCCGTAAAAAAATAAAAAAATACGTGTCCAATGTTATTAAATACCCGAGCGTACGGCGCGTCGCTTTCAGCGCGTGCCTCAAAGAGCCATCAGACCACCACGGATGGGGTCCAACAGGGCTGATGTCGATACGGAGCCCCGGAGAACCTAACGGGTTACCGGGGCCCCGGTTCAAAGTGCAGGAGTAGGAACGAGGTGGTTTTCAGTCAGTAAGAGTCTGACACTCGCTCCCTCCTCACTCAGGTGGGAGCAGTTATTCGATGATTATCCGCACTTAAAAAAAAAAAGCCATACAAAAAAAATTGTCATCTACCCTATTGTACAGTCGGCAGTTTTTCTAGAAACCAAGCAACCTTTCCTTTAGCCTTTAACATAAAGTATTCTCATATAATATTCATACCGCAATACAAATTGAAACTATAGGTACAGTCAGTAACAACAGGTGGCCTCATCCAGGAGATTTATTCCCCAGTCATAACTTCACAAGTACCAGGTATTCATAAAGCGAGGGAGTTATCTTCAAATTATTTATAGGCCACCATTACGATCTAAAATGCCTGGCTTTCTTTATGAAACTTAGATTATTGTAATTTTTTTCGGTCGTAAAGTTCTAACAGTATTATGTAATAGTCTTTATTACTGGGTTTTTGAAGAATGAATGAGATGATATTTTATGGTTTTGTGTACAAATATTTATATACAATTTAAGTTAGATATTTTTTTATTTTATTACTTTGTATTCAGGTATAAGGCTACAGATTTTGTAGGTACATACATAAGAGTCCACCAACCAAGAGACTATACTTTTGACAGAGACTAGCACTGCCGCCTTGGTCTAGTATAACTAAAATGCCATTATCCAACCGACCGCCCCAAAAGTACAACTCGGAAAAAGTAACATTGGTACTTGCTGTTGGTAGGTCTCGAATCCGAACTCTCATGCATGAGAAGCAGGCGTCATAAACCTCCGGGCCACAACGACATTGTATTTTTTTTATACCACGACGGTGGCAAAAAAGCACACGGCCCACCTGATGGTAAGCGGTTACCGTGGCCTATGTACGCCTGCAACACTTGGGGCATTACATGCGTCTTGCCGACCCTAGATAATTATTATTATATCAAACACAAATTACCCAGGTCTACACAATCACTAATATCAAATAACTCAATAACAGTTCCCACGATATCAAGACTTACCGCTTCATATTTAGAAATGAAACTGCACTGAAAGCATGTACTAACAATTCATTTTCCGAGTGGAGCTGCGGACGGCTACTATGTACTAATTGCTTGGTGCTCGGGATCCGAACCAGTTCAAAATAGTTGTCAGGTGTATTTATTATCACAGGTATCAATAACAGGTACATGACATAACACCACGCCTTTTATCCCCGAAGGAGTGGGCATTACGGCACTTAATGCCAATGCACAATGTAACAACACCCACTTTTCACTATTTATGTTATGAGTCCCATGTAATAAGGGGTGAGCCGATTGCCATATACCAGAAACAATTCCATACTATGTGCTACAAATGAGAAATTTTAAAAATCCCAGCTTAACATACTAGGCTATAACAGGTATTAGACGTATTAGTAGGTATATGTATAAGCAGTATGATAAAAAAGCACGGATATAAGTTCGTGGAAATTAAAACTCTATACGCCATTAGAGTAATAGTTGTTCTCGCGGATATAAAAACAGTTTAATATCGCCCAGTAACATGTTGATTCCGTAAATAAATCACAATCACAGTATCACCGCGCAAATTAAAACCTACTACGTCATTACCTGTTATCGTATGTAACAGATATATCATAGAGTAGAATGTTATCTGTTCTCAATACCTGTTATTTATTAACAACTGTGATTTTTACAATACAGTAACTGGAATAACAAGTATCGTGTTTTACCTGTTACAACCCAAGTACAGTTTAAGAGTAAAGAATGCTTTAGTCCCGGTCTCCCGGATCTAGAAAGAGGTTAACCCGGGCTAACCGACTTTATTTGTTCAATTAAAATGGCGTGCTCGCCGCACTTGTAAAGGAAAGTGTTAAGAGCTTCTTTGCTGAAGATTTTATCAGGATTTCAGTTTTGTTTTAACTCGTCGAGTACCGGTTTTATAGACACAATTAAAGAACAATAGGTCGCGGTCACCGGTGACCGCTTGGTGTTTGACAGATTAAAGATAATTTTAAACTCGTTTTTTTATAGCATAAGCCGGTAAACGAGCAGACAGATCACCTGATGGTAAGCAATCGGCGCTGCACATTTACACTCTAAACACCAAGGCGTTACAAGTGCGTTACCAGCCTTTTGGGAATTGGGAATTTGAGGATTGTGGAGGATTCGGGGATTCGGGAGACGGGGACTAGGGAGGGGGGTAATTGGGCCTCCGGTAACTTCACTCACACGACAAAACACAACGCAAGCGTTGTTTCACGTCGGTTTTCTGTGAGGCCGTGGTATCACTCTGGTCCAGCCGGCCCATTTGTGCCGAAGCATAGCTCTCCCACACTGTTTTCTCACAGTTCGTATTGAATTAGGGACTTTTTGACATAGGAAGGAAAACTCAAAAGAAACATTGGCTCACATCCCTTCCGTCCTACCGTGAACTAATTACATTACTGAAGAAAAATGTATGCCATGAAAACGCTTGATGTAATGTAATGTCATTTCCATATAATTAGGCTTTAATTAAAGCACTAACTTTATATACCGCCATTTCTGTAGGCACGCAGGATCTTAAAAAATATAACACCCTCTACCACTCGTAACCTTAAAACAACACCCTAAGATCTCAAACTCAGCTATAGCAAACTCAACCTTAATTTGTTCAGTATAAGATATAAAAAGTTAGCTTAGACCTCAAAGACAAAGAATTTTTATTTTCATTCTAACCGTCTTCAAATTTAGGCAAAGGCGTTCTTTGTTTTATAACATTCCTGTGTAATGCTCGAATACTTTTACCTTGCCATATTAAAGCCTTGTATTCACTAGGCAACATTTGTTGCGCGACATGTTGCACAATATGTGGCTCAACGGTTCGATCATCGTAGAGCTGTTGTTTAATAACGAACGTTGCAATTTCACTATCAACAATCGTCAACAACATTGATAACATATCGCCAAAAAAATAATGTTCGTTTTAGTGGTACTCAAATACTACACAGCACTGTCATTTGTGTGCATACATACATATATCAGTTTTTGACAACATTTTAATATTTGAATTTTGGACCGCATCTATCCGAATACGCGAATAATGTTGCCTGCTGCTAATTGGCAACGTTGTGCGATATTGTACAACAACACTGAATGTGTTGAGCGTTATGTGGCGCGATATTATTGCCTAGTGTATACCAAGCTTTAGAGGCTGGGCGTGCGACAAAATAATACCGTTTTGTTTTATTAAAATTATGCCTAACGTGGAAAAGCTTTTGAAGGGTTCTCAATGTAAATATGGATGCCAGCGTTTATTGTAATTTCTGATTTTATTTTTTCTTTGTTGTCAGCGATAAGTGGTTCTGCTCAGGCTGTCTTAACAGTCAGGGCGTAGTCTTGGCAGTTATTTCTACTATTTGACATAATGTACCATCACTAAACGATACCCGCGACTTCTTTTACGAATCAGTCCGAGAATTATTATTTTTTCTTTGACACGTCTTTTTTTTAAGGGGGGAAAATCATCAAATGTCTTCTCCCGTCTGGGTGAGGAAGTGTCAGACTCTTACTTACTAAAAACCACCCCGTTCCTACTATTGCACTTCGAGCCAGAGCCCCGGTAACCCGTTAAGTTTTCCACGG